GTGTGTGTGTGTGTGTGTGTGTGTGTGTGTGTGTGTGTGTGTGTGTGTGTGTGTGTGTGTGTGTGTGTGTGTGTGTGTGTGTGAGTGTGTGTTTGAGGGTGAATTTATTGGACAAGTGAGTGTGTGTTTGTGGGAGCACATTATGCAGGAGTGTAAGGTTAATGTGCGCCTGTTAGGTTTTAATGTTAGTTTACTCGAACTTGACATTTCACAGAGTCCAAATCTGCATATTTTATCACGCTGGCATCCTATTTCTGCGTGGGTGTGTTTGTGTGCGGCGCTGACCTGCGTGGCACAGATGACAGGCTTGCCGGCAGAGTTGCAGCGCCCAATCATCATCTTCTGGGCGATGAAGACTTTTTCTGCTGGGATCTCGATCCCCAGGTCGCCCCTGGCAACCATTACACCGTCACTCTCAGCCAGGATCTCCTCAAAACTGACAGACAGATTAAGGGAGATGAGGTGGTGGAGGATGTAAGGAAAAAGAAACAGGAGTTGAAAAAAAGCAGAAACAGAGGCGTTAGCAGGGATGAGGAAGCAGAGGTTGAGGGGATAAAAACAATGACAGCACTTTGTTTTCCAGGAAAAATTTAAATTCAGTGCTCGATCTGCAAAAACAGGATTTTATCTCTGAATCCTCCAAAAATAGAGGATGTACGTTGTGATCTAAATCCAAAATATTTGGACAAAATCCATCCAGCTGTGATGATGATGCAGGTTTAAGAAGAAATACAGATTCAAGAGAAGAGCAGCAGGAGAGAGAAAGAGATGAATAATGGAGCTGAGAGAGCGGTAGCATGAATTGTGTCACATATATTAACAGGGGGTTATAACTCAGAGACAGCCACACAGTTTGATCATCATAGATGTGTAACATCAAGAGTTGACATATGTCCATCCATCACTTACAGCTTGTTGACTACAGCAGGGGCAGATCGCCGTCAGCGCTGGATTTATAAGTCCTGTCAGAGCCTCATTATGAAACATTAACTGCCTTTAGCAACCGTATCGCTCAAAATAACTGAGTATAAATGGTGTTAAATAAGAACAGTTTTTTCCTGTGACTCACTTCTGGACCCCCTGCCGGCTCTCCACCTTGCTGATCACTTTGATTTCTCGTCCATGTGCCCCAAGAACACGCCGTACATCCTTGACGTCCTGGGCCGAGCGTATGAAGCTGGCAAACACCATGTCCACACCCTGGGAGACCCCGAACCTCAGGTCGGACTTGTCCCGCTCGCTGACAGCCTGCAGGCCGATCAGGTCGCAGCCGGGGAGGTTAACGCCTTTGCAACTGCAGAGCAGCCCGCTAGCCTCCACCTTAGTGTCCACCCAGTCAGGGCCTGCAAACATGGACCAGTCAAAGAAAATAAAAGGTAAATTAAAACAACCCTTAGAGATTGGATTCCAAAGTGAATCCAATCTCTAAAAAACCCAAAGTGTCCATAATTAAGAATCCAATATCAAACAAAACCCTGAACTGAAGACAAAGAAAAGCCATTTCTCTGGAAAGTGTGTCAGCTGACTGAACTCTAGGTTACACTAAAAAATCTATGTAATTACAGAATCGTTTCATCACGAAGGACATAATGAAGAGAGTTGGACGACTCCAAGGGAACCATGAATGGGTTATTCAGTTTAGCAAGGTTTCCTTAAATGAGAAAGATTTCATTCACAATGAAAGACAGGGCTGATCATTATGTGAACAAATGCATTGGTTCTATGGAAAGCAGTACTTCATATAGATAACAAGACAAAGAGAATGAATAGAGGTATAGAATAATGGAGGGCAGAGATGGAGAACAGGATAATTAATATGTGTGTATGCAGCTGCAGTATGTACGTGTACATCAATGTACTGTATATGTGTGCACATGTTTGTTTACATGTGTGTATGCAAACTGTATGTACATAAATGTTTGTCAGTCTATGGTATGTTTATGTGTATGGAGTACATATTTTGTAATCAAGCACATACTCTGTTGTCTCTATATTTTTTTTATGCGTTTTTTTCCTCAATACATTTATGGAGAAAGTTTGTACTTTTTTTTGTTACCTATTTCTGTGACTCTGAGTCCGATGAGGCCGTCGTCAATGTAAATCTTTCCTCCTTTCTGGAGGACTTTGGGGAGGCTGGGATAGTCCACCCAGATAATCTTTCCATCTGTTTTGTCTTTGTCACTCTCTGCTGTCACCACACGAACACTGCTGCCTTTCTCCAGCACCACCTCCTCCTCCACTTTCTGTTCAAACACACACACAGAACAAACCATCAAAAGAAAGACACACATTGGAAAGAAAAGTAAAAAAAATATTACTGTCTCTCTCTTGCATTTTATTAAGAAAGCGCATTGAGGGACACGCTTTTGAGGAGAAGATAAAATAGTGTTTTTATGTCAACACACTGGTCTTCACAAACATGTAGAGGCTCTTATCTTGTTTGTCTTATACCGTGCTGGTGTGTTTGTGCCTGAATAATTCCAGTAATTCACATCAGGTATTTTGCCTGACAGTGACAGTGTCACCTGCTAAAGCTTGAAGGAAATAACATGACATCAGTGTTTGTGATGCGTGACAGAAAAATTAGCTGATACAAAAGATTAATCTAACATTTTCATCTTATAATTGATTATGTACGAGCTGCTGAACAGACTTAAGAGGAGATGTAGAGAGCCAGAGTCAGTGAGCAGCTCACACGTCAAGCTTAACGAGACATTCAGAGGTTTCCAACAGCTTGGGTTGTTTGTTCAGCAGACGACGTGCAACAGCGGCACAATCAGAAAAAGTCTGTACATTGTCTGCTGCTCTTCCACGTCACTGCTTGATTCATCTTAGACTGTTTGACAGAGGAAGCATGACCCGCTCACCCCTTTCACTAATCCAGTGCGGATCTCTGGACCCTTCGTATCCAAGGCGATGGCGACCGGCCGGTAATACAAGGGGTCGGAAGTGATCGTCTCCACCGCCTCTCTGATGTTTTTGATGGTTTCACCGTGGTACTGACAGAAGTAGGGAGACACACACAGGATTATGACATGAATTAATGAAGGAATGAATGCACGTGTGTGCGTGTGTACGTTCTGTAATTTTGTGCACATTTGAAGTACGTACTTCATGTGATCCATGGGAGAAATTCAGACGAGCGATGTTCATCCCTGCTTTGACCATCTCCTGCAGTTTGGTGACTGATCGCGACGCAGGACCTGAAATGAAGAGGATGCAGATGATGATGATGAAAATCGTTCCTTTCCAAATCCTCAAAGGTAAAAGTATTTTTTTCTTTGTTGTAATTAACGAATGTGAGCTTGTAACAGGAAATGGGCCTTTTTGATCATTTCTACACATTCTCTGATATTTCCTCAACCAAGAAATTAATAAGCAGATTAATTAATGAATAAATTGAGTGTGAGTGAATGAAAGCTGCTATCTGGAGAACCGCTGCTCACAGCTGTTTGTCTGTTTCCTTATTATTTTCTTTTTTTGAGGCAGAAGAGAAGCAGATAGAGCTGAGTCGCCCGACAGCCAAGAACCAGACCCTGCCAACACACTGAGGGCCTCTCACACTCAGGAGCTGGCACACTGACAAGGAACCGGTGAAATAGACAAACTTGAGACTGAGACTTGCCGTCTGCAGCTGCTCGTCACACTCACCGATAGTGCAGACGATGCTGGTGTTGCGCGCTGTGATTGGCTCCTGGTCGATGTCCAGAAGACAGAGATGCTCCAGGAAGGTGTCAGCCATGCTGGCGTCCAGCTGCTGGCGTTGGATGAAAGAGTCCGGCAGTGTCATCGCCTCTGAGTAGCGCCTGATGCGAGCTGTAGTGACAGAGAAACGTTGTCAGCAGAGTGGAGACAGCCGGGGGGGAAACTGCCAGCTCCACCTGTGAGCATGCATGAACTAAACACCTCAGAAATACAAGTGTCATTCATTTCCGTGTTAAGAGTGTTTAGATCTACAGTCAGAGCGGAGGCCTCAGACAAGACTAGAAGATCCCATTGCTCTGCCAAGGCTGACGGACGATAAAGACTGGGGTGAAATATCTTTCTTGTCAGAGGTAACAATATATTTGCACACAAAGACAAAAACACAATATATTGACATGACGTAACTACAATGTGGAGGGGTCATTAAATGTATTTGTTGTTTAATCTGACAAACTCTGACAGATTATGTTTCATAAAAAGAATGTAATAAAACTGTATTTAAAAAAATAGACAGGAAGCCTGACATTAATGCCACATATATTTTTATACTTATATTTACAGTGAATCAAAATACATGATATCCACACCTGCAGTCTTGCTATATAATGTAGACAAACTAAAATGACTCAAGACACGATTAAGCTTTCACACACGGTTTAATGAAACCCGCTCTCCCTCTGAATGAATCAAGGAGACAGTGACACTCCTGGATTCAGAAGATTCGTGCCTCAGCTTCCGCATGCCACCACCTATTTGCTGGAACTGCTTAGAAATGTTTACGTTTACAATAATCTAAACTGTCAGAATGTCCATGTGTCTGAGTTCTGCATTTTTATTTCAACTCAAATGGCAAATTTGTAAGACTAATAAACAACCATCTTATCTCATCTCATCTTAACAAAACGTACATCTTGTCACGTTTCACCTCTTCAGATAACACCAGTTTGAAATACCATTCATTACTATTCATTCCATACTGATTACACACATCATTACATCACCATAACAACTCCACCAGCCACCATTTCTGCTGAAAATGTCACAGACCAGTAAATGGGGTATGTGTCTCTCGTTGCAAAGCATTGTGGTACCTGGCTGAGTCCTTTGAGGCAGCACAATGGCATCCATTTAAAAAGATGTCATCGTCAGTCAAGCCGGCAATTTTTACCACCACAGGGGAGGAGAGAGAGTGAAGACCAGAGAGGGGAGCCTGACATACAAAGGTTGATGCTAACAGCACCATGGGAGTCAAGAGGTGAGGACAAAGAAGGGGGAGAGGAGGGGAGGAAGAAAGGAAGGTGAGATGAAGAAAGAAGTTATCTGTCAAGGGAGCTTTCTGTCAATCAATTTTTTGATGATTCGTTGATATTCGGTTATTTGTGACCCTGTTAACTAACGTCATGTTTGGAATTTGTCGACCTCCCCGCTTGTTCCACAACTCTCTGCAGACAAAACCTGAGAAGTGCAAAGCTTTAGAGGAACTAGCTGGTGAAACTGTGACTGGAGGTTTTGCAGGATAACGTGAACATGGACAGCTCTTCAATCCTGTAGATTTAATATCTGTCAGTATTTTCTCCCTCTTTCTCTTTGTGTCTTTTTCTCTCTACACCTCCCTGTGACCCAGTTCTGCCACACTGCTGCACACATCATTACATGTCCCACTGAGATCCTCCTCTGACACATCCCAGGGTGCATGCATGAAAACACACACACACACACACACACACACACACACA